GAAGACTTTTAAAGATCATTTAGTTTTTTATGAAACATCAAGTTCATGAAACCAGGCCAGTCAATTGCAATAGGAAATCCAAAATAAGAGTAAATATTGTATGAAACAATAGGAGCACAACCTCTTTTAGAATTCTAACATTTATGATCCGGTGGTTGTTCTAGTAAAATTAAGATTTGAGTCTATTAAAATTCTTTTCACATTAACATAAAAGATTATATATTCAAAAAAAAATTATGCGACCGGGAATTGTAATAAAAGAATACTCCACAAGTGAGAATTTATGCTTTGACATGCTCAAACGGAACTTTTGGCGTGTTTTTAAGATATCCTCAATTTCTAATTCAATAAAATACACATAGACCTAAGATATGACAAAGACGTCGTTTTTAATTAAAGCAATCGAGCAACAAATTAGTACTTCATAATACTTCAGACTCAATGTTGACTAATATCACTATGGACTCCAGAAAAGTAGTATTTCAGAAATTCATACATAGAAAGCTAAAAAAATAAAACTGATAAACTGAAGTATAAAGACTAATACCATATAAACATTTCATTGGACACCTTATATGCTTTGGTGCTCCTAAAACTCATGTAAAACACTTTCTACAATACACTTTCTTTATTTTTATCCAAAACAAATCTAGTTTGTCATTGAGAAGCTCTATAAATACTGAATTGATAATATCTACTGCTCTAGACTTCTATCGACTAAACCATACGTTGATAATATCTACCGTTATAGACTTCTATTGGAAAATGAAAGCAAAGCCATTTACTTATTTATTAGACTAAAAACTTGCCACCAAATGCTTTTCCTTTCAGGTTTTCCTATAAAAAACTTTGTAGTAAAGAAATGATGGAAATAATCAGTTCAAACCAAACAGTAACCAAACACATTTGCTTCTTTGAAAAATTAGTGACTTACTGATGTTCCTTTAGATCACATATGTAAACATTTAATCAAACAACATATGTGCACAAAGATAATTAATGCTGGACTGAAGTTGTATTCACATAGAATCGAGAAATAGAGAAATGAAGAATTAGAGAGTACCTCTACTACTTGGGCACCCAAGGATTTGTGTTTGCAAAGCTGGGTTAATGTGGTTGAAAACTACACCTAGCCAGAAATAAACATAAAACTTAAAGCCATATTATGCAATAATAGTGTTTTAACAAATCTGGAGTTCAACTATGACAATTGAAATCATATTTGGTTTAAGCAGTACAATTGTACGAACTAAACCCATGTTGAAGAGCTTGAACAATGTTTTAAAAGGCTTTACCTTAGAACAATCAATCGAACAGCTAATTAAGGCCAAGGTCAGGGCGTGTTCATAATCCCAATTTAAATTACTTACTTGACTGATTAAGGTGGCTTTCCTCTTCGATCCCATCCTATTGATTGTCTGAATTTATTCTTTGGTTTTTATTTATGAGAATACGCCGTCCTTTTATTAAAGTAGGCCAGAATATAAAATAGGAAAACCCTTTTTTTGGGGTATTTACCAACATAGCCAAAATCTGACTTGGAGTCACCATTCTAAGGCAAACTGATAATAAAAGAAATATCGGACTGACACGGTAAAATACACCGTACAGCCGGTTGTACCGTGCATGCGCACGTTAGTTTGCGTTTCTTCACCTCTGTCTTTCTTTTCACTCTTTTCCTTTTTCTCTTTTTCTCATTCAGTTTTGTTGTTTCATATTGTGATTTTGAAAGACCAAGAGAGCCTACTACAGACAAAGTAATCCTAATCTCAAATAAGTTTTATATTAAACTCAAATGAGTATACACATAAAAGAAATGAACATACACAACTGAATATTAAGCATGTTAAAAATGAGATTTATATTAAATTCAAATGAGTATACGCATAAAAGAAATGAACATACATATAACTGAATATTAAGCACATTAAAATGAGTTTTATTTTAAACTCAAATGAATTTTATTTTTAACTCAAATGAGTATAATGCCCTAAATCAATGAGCATACACAAATGAGCTTTTGAATTTTTTTATACTCATTTTGTAGATCATGTATGCTCTTTTGGTACTGCTTTATGCTGATTTTAAAATGTTGCACATATCAAGCACATCATACTACATTAGATTCACATATTGAAATTAATTGAAATTGATTATTCACATCATTTAATAATTTTTTATAAATGAAAAAATAATAAAAAGAAACTGAATTAGGGGATATGAAGCAGAGATCATTGGTGCTCATTGTTAGACTCCTAATACTCAAAAGTATAGATTCGATGCTCATGCAAATTGCATCAATGCTCATTTAAGAGAAATCGTGATTTTCACCAAAATTACAAAACTGACCAATTGTACGGTGCCAGCCGTACAACCGGCTGTATGATATACGCTTCCGAGTGACACTCATACAGTCATACCCGTAAAAAAATTGACTAGGATAATAAGAGAATATTACCTGAAATAGGACTAAAAGGTTTGAAAATTCCAAAATCGGACTGACATGTTTTTATTATCAAAATAGTACTAATTAATGTCATGTTTTGGCAGTACCAGACTTCAAATATGGCAGTATTTTCTAAACTTGACAGTAATTACTCCTATTTTGGGAATAAAAAACATGACAGGCCTATTTTGGAATTTCTAAACTATTTTAGTTCTATTTCGGAAACTTTCCTGAATAATAATCATAAAATATCAACGGTGTATAAGTGTATTGGTGTCGAGTCCTCCCACACATGGCATAAAAAACCTCAGTATCATAAAGAGCATTGTCCTTTTTCTTCCGGGTTTAGATCATCCCAATTCCCAAATGATTTAAAAAGCTTAATCTTTTATTTCTTGCCTAGTTGTCATTTTTTCTATGTACTTGAGGACATTATACTTGTTGATCTCATTTGGTAACACTGAAATCAGCTAAATTGGCTGATTCTGCTGAAATTTATAAAGTTCCGGCTGTAGTTGCTGTATAGGCTGATTCTGCTGAATTATGAAAAAATCATATTTAAATTATATTCTATTAATAAAATAAAGAAAAAATTATATGAAAAATAGCTAAAATAGTTAACTACAGAAAATTTATCCAATACAGTCATAAAAGTAACTTCAACCTTACTTTTTCTTATGATCAGACAATTCAGTACACAAAATCAAAAGTTACGTGTTTGACTAAAAAGTTGATTGATAAGTCTGATAAGCCGAAAAACACAAGTTACCGACTTTGTTTAGCTTCTCCGCACTAGTATCGACTTTGTTTTTCTACTTTCATTATCGATCCTTGCTCAAGTCTTCTTGAAATGAAGTATGTAAAATCTTAGGGAATATTATGTCATTATTATGAAGTATGACAAATGAAGTATGTAAAATCTCCGCACTAGTAAGATTTTTAAGGTTTACGGCAATATTATGTCATTATTTAGGGAATAAGAATAAAATCTTAACATTTTGCTCTTGAGGTGAGTAAATCTTTGGAATTTTATCAATTCAGAACATGAAAGATGGATGAATTATCAACCCCGAACCCGAAAGATGAAAAATTATCAATCTATTGGTCCATGATGCTTGATTTTAAACTTTCGTAGTTAGAGGTTCCAAGATAGGCATGGACTCGGTTCGGGCCAGGCCGGGACTCGGTTCGGGCCAGGCCGGGACTCGGTTCGGGCCAGGCCGGGACTCGGTTCGGGCCAGGCCGGGCCTCGATCCGGTTCCGACCGGGATTTTTTTGGAGAAGTGAGGCCCGGAAACATGCTCGGGTAGCTCCGGGCCCGGGTCGGGGCGGTTCACCCGGCGGTTACTGGGCCAGGCCGGCTCGGGCCGGGTACCCTATTTTTTTCTAATTACTTCCTACCCCCCAGCCCACACACCCCAAACCCCCCCAAAACACCTAGCCCAACCCATATACCTTTTAAAAAATGTGAAAAACAAAAAAACAATATTGGCCCGAACCGGACCCGAACCAGCCGGGCCGGTTCGTGATTTGGGAGGCCCGGGAACCGACCCTCTACAGTGCGGGGCCGGGTGGCCCGAACTGGGCACAGAACCGGGTACCGGACCGGCCCGGTTCGTAACAGTACCGGTTCGGGCCGGTTAACCCGGACCGAGTCCATCCCTATTCCATGAGAATATTGGTCTATTTGAATTGCGTTCCTGCTACCTCGTGTTGTTTCTAGCAAATCTCATCTCTTTTGTTGCACCCTCGACTCGTCATTGACGTTGACAACGGCCATATAACTAGTTAAGGAAAACACAATTACAATAGTACATACTGAATTACTAAGTATTCCATAACAACATAATCATTTTTTTAATTAATACACAACGAAAAAATACTAAGAATGTAATTAGTCATATGGAAAACGATACAGCATGCAAGCCCAAAACATTTTTCCCATGGGCATACATAATTAACTAATATTTAAAAAGGAAATACAAATCAAATCTTCATCCGAGCACAATCTCAATAACAACACACGTAGTAAACACAAACTCCAACCTGAAAATATTAGTGCGGCGTCCGAAGAGAGTCCAGCTCCTCTCCACTTCTTTCTCTCCGTTTCCTATCCATTTCTTTTTTCTTCCTATATATCTCTACCTTTTATTCTATCTTACTCATCAACATACTCCACCATAATTTCTCCTCTCTCTATCTCTCTCCAAAGTATCTACTTACTGGAGAGGATCCAAATTAGTCCGGAGGGGTCATTACTATCGTCCCACTGATACATGTGAGGAAAAGGAAGCTCTAAACTAGATAATACGTCATAAATATTTAAAAACAAGACTCTAAAATAGGGCAATACAACTACAACACTGGTCTCTAAGCAAAGACAATTTTAAATCGAAGTATGAGACCAGCTACAACACAACTACACAAGCCATGGAAGCGTGTGAAACAGTGAAAGAGACCCCAAAACATTCCCACATTCCATGAGATCCCACGATAGGACTATCTAGTGTTCTATTCCTCTTTACTTTATTAACATTTTTTGTGTTTGTAATTTGTGATTGTTTTTTAATTGGAATCAGAAGTACAAGCCATGCAAAGCATTTCGAGTGTTAACATAAGGCAGCACAAAATTTTACATTACATATACCGTTTAACCATCTTTAACACATTTAAAAAATTTCACTCTCTTGAGTAAAGAGGGAAATTTCATGATCATTGTAGTCTTTACAGCAGCACAGGATTCTCCAAGCGGAGATGGGATTAGGATAGATCAATAAAAGATAAAAATCACAAGCTAGCAGCAATGAATGTGTTAGATCTCGATCCACGCAGCTTCTCTTGTTGCTTTATGCTGTCCACGACGTGACAAATCACTCCAGCTCCAGCATTATGGAACCATTCATTCTTAACCTGTTTCCAAATATTAGATACAACTCGGAATACGCAAAGAAAGCAACAATAGAAGGGAACACATACATGTATGTTATTATGAGCAAAGAAGGGCCAGAATGCTGAGTGGAAACTAACATCTACTTTCCTCCATCCTAACTGTTGCAATCCACTTGTCATTTCCCCTGTTTCAGAACCACAATAGCTCGCAATTTCTCAAAATAGTTCAAAATGATATTCTGCAATCTCAAAGTCATGTTGCCATGTATTGCTAATACATGTACTACCTTCTATGATTTCATGGTATTCTAATGTACTATTATCCATGTTGGGTTTCTTTTGGGCAGCCTCCTTTGCATTGGCTGCTTCAGGAGGGAAATGAGGAATAGTCGACAAAATTGGGGGACAGTATTCAACATTTACAACATGTTTGTAGCCGTCCAAAGATCGTGTAGTGGGCTGAAACGTGGCAAAACCTCAGCATTAAATAATAATGGCATAATAGCAAAAAAAAATATACGATGCCATGAAGATATTTAATTTCATCCTCACCTTGGTCTTAACTAGAATACAAGTACTACAGTGCCAACTATTGCGTAAACCTAGTTGTCTCAATACATTTAATCATGAAAAAAAGCTTAGTGGCAAAGTTTTACACAATATGACCTTGTCAAATGAATAATCACATGACTAATTTCAAAAGATAGTCAAATATAATAAATTCATTATTGGTACTTACTGCATATAAGTTTTATGGTATAAATAATGGATTACCTACAAGGACATAAAAGATTACAAGAACTAAGCTTCCCATCATCAATATAAATATGCAGGTTTTCAATACCAAAATCAATATCCACAATCATCTTCATGAATGTATGAAATTCTTTTCCATGAAAAATTAGGAAAACCAATAAAGTACATCTCATAATCGACCACAGATTACCTTGGCAAGCTCTGTCTTCCTTCTTATAGAGGATGTACGCCAACCGACCATATCTAGGCTATGTCAAAGAAACTCAAACTAAATTGAACATAGTAAGAAAAATATTAGCATACACCAAGATTTGCCAAGTGTGATGATCTCATGTTTGAAGGAGAAGTGGAGAGTGGGATACGGTCATAAGAAACATTTGCATAAACAGCACGGTATTTGAAAGCACCAAGTGCAGATCTTGCAAGAAACGCCAGATAATATTAATAGAATATTAAAATCTATGTCACATATACTTATAAGTATAAACATACTGTATAGGCATTTGTTGACAAATCTCTTACATAAACTTTCTATCTTCACAATCTGAAGCCATTCGTAAAAGAAGAGGTGGTATATTTGGTTTTCCATCAGTGAGGAAGAGTTGCCTACCAGTTCTCCCAATAAGAAAAGGAGCCATTGGTGCAGCAAGTTTTTCTAAGATGGGAAGTCCCAAGAGAAATGGAAGCTAAACCACAAAACAAAACGATTTTTCTGCACATCAGCAACGCACTCCTTGTTATGTATATCACTGATGCAATACTAACCTAAAAATTTCATGTATATGTTTGGATCCAGGATAAGGCTAGGGACACATATAAATTGCTAAGTTATGTTCTTATGTTTGGTTTTACTATGGAAACTGCCAAAGCATATGAGATAGATTTTTAAAAAAAAATTGCAAACATTTAGATTTTATTTAGTCTTTATATATGGAGTAATAGGAAAAAAAGTCAACATGAGCTTAAAAAATATGAAGTACTACGTATAAAATAAAATTTAGGAAAAATTGAAAATAATAATCCCAACTATTGCCGGTCCGCTAACAATAATCCCAACTATTGATTATTTTTGTATAATCCCAACTATATGGACCGTCCACCAATAATGGTCCATGACCAAATATTACCTTCTATAAAAGTGAATTTTAAATAGAAATTAAGCTTAAAAATTAAAAGTTAGGGATAATTTATAGGGATTACTTGCTATATCTCTTCTCATCCACTTTAGAAAGTACATAAACTTATTTACAGCGACTGTTATTGGCGGAAGGTCCCTAAAGTTGGGATTATTCTGAAATAATCGATAGTTGGGATTATTATAAGCGGACCGCCAATAATTGGGATTATTATAATCAATTTTTCCTAAAATTTATTCAGTTTGACCCTATCTTTTATTTTCTCTCTAATTTTCTTTCCTTCCAATTTTCTTGTCTATCTTCCTTCACATTTTCTTCCCCTACTAATTTCCATGTTCCAAAAAACCCTATACATTGTGGCTTTACAAGAAACCAGATTCAAACAAATTAACCTTTTGTGGGTGTGGGGGTGGGAGTGGGAGTGGTGGGGACACACCTGTCTGTTGCCTCTTACACCAAGATGTGGTGTAGCCAAAGTGATGAAATTTATTGGTTCTAGACCAGCAATGAACTCTTGTTTTGAAGAGCATACCAGCTTTCTATTTGCAGTGCCTGATATGTTTGGCGTAAAAAGAACAGCAACTGCATATCTTGCAATCAACCCACCAAGTGAATGGGCTATAAAAGAAATCTTTTTTAGGCTCTCTCTACTTTTCACAACTTGCATTACCTGATTCAATTTATATATGTTCTGGGTTAAAAATATGAACAGAAAAGTGAAATCTCAAGCATTCATAATCGAACATCTATTAACAAACTCACTTCGTCTGCAAGGCGTTTACCAGCTCCATCAATCCCAGCAAATGTTTTTATATAAGCATTGCATGAACTTGCTGTGAACAAAAGAACTCAATACTATATCTATATGAAGAACTCTCAATTACAATATACAATAGTCTAAAGAATTACTGCCAAAACTTTAAAAGGGAATAACAAGCACATGTGATCAGAAATATGATATTATGAGATTCAATGTATTCTGTTTGTAGTGTACCATTTAATTGACAGTGTGCCTTAATCCCTCTTAACCCAACAAGTTGGGATTAAGTATCTCATAATAATATGATGATGATTAAAAAATACCATATATCAAAAACTTTCTGCCCAAATGTCTCTTCAATTCTGCTTGCGCATATGTCCAGTCACTAGTGCTGCATCAGTCAAGGAACTCAGTAAAAACAGAGATGGAAAATCGATCACTGTTCTGTTTGATTTGTTACTTTAGCCTTTTTTGGTTGGGGATTTCAGATGGGAGGGAAGGGGAGGAATAATATTTATTTGAATGCTTGGAAAGACAGTTAAGATGAAGAATTATATAGAATTACATGTTTTAAGTAAGCATATAATTAATTTGTCCACGACTACACATTTGTAAAGAAAAAGTCCATCCTTTTCCTCCCTCCAAATCATAAAATTCCCCAACCAATAATAGACCATATACGAAATAGTTAATCAGACAAAGAGTCTAACTGAAAGTCTGAAACTATTGATATGCACCAAGAAAAGAGAGTAGACTTAAATATACTGTCTTTGAATGTCACACATGATTTTCAAGCGGTTAAAAAAACTATTATAATTAAACATCTAGATACTATATACTAGTATTATATAACTATACTATTATAGAATGATGATACTCTCACACCATAGTCATATACAAAAATCTCAGTTTACAAATATGAAAAGAACCAACATATTACATAAACACTTAGAAAAAATGAAACTCGAACTATAAAGCACAACCAGGCATGAATTACAACTAAATATTTCACTAACAATGCTTAGAAATTCAATGAGGGCATCAGAATGGGAAAGTGCCATACATGATTTTCAAGTGGTCCCACCAAACACATACGGAGTATAATTCAACATCTAGTTCTACTATCATATAACAATGATACTCTCTCACCATACTCATATACAAAATTCACAGTTTACACATATGTAAAGAACTAATATATTAGCACTCAGAAAAATGCAACTCAAAATATAAAACACAATCAGACATGAATTACTACTAAATATTTCACTACCAATGTTTAGAAATTCAAATGAGGGCATCAGAAGGAAAGATGAACAGATTATATACTCCCGTAGTTCCAAATACTTGTCCACTTTCTTCTTCAGACTAGTTCCACAATATTTCTCACACTCTAAATCCTTTACTTGGAAAGGGACCTACCCAAGAAAGCTAAATACACATTCAAAGTGTACAGTACTGTTAGAGTACCCAAGAGGGAGTAAAATATTTGCAATAATGAAGCATACAGACATACAGTTTATCTATATACTTCAGGAAATAGTTTAGGATCATACCGAACACAATAGAAAACAATCATTCAATCAAGTAGCTTGTACTTATTACTACACATAAATCCAATATAGATCAATTTCCAAAGCCCAAGGATATCTTGCATCTATTCCTAAACTAAGATCCCTTCATTACATACACTTTAGTAATGTTTTAGGTGACCTATCAAACAGAGAAAAGAAAATTAGCAATCTTTAGAAGGAGACTTGTTTACCTAGCCAAGATGCCATGAACGAGGACAATAAGATGGTCTGGTTCATCCTCCAAATGAATAATATGGTTTGGCAATACAAAATCGTCTCCTTGGGTTCCAGTCATGTCAACAACTTTTAGTTTTTACCCTTCAATTCTCACAAACAATTACCATATTACAAACTCATATTGAAATTATACAGTCCGTATTGTACTTGGTTATTGCTATGAATGAAATATATTCCATATTAGTAGGGAATGGATCATCGATTGGACAATAGAATCTGAACAGAAGCGAGAATTAACATGTTCAACAGATAAATTCAATGTTTACCAACAATCAGAACTCCCTTTCAAACAACATATTCTAAATAGTCGAAAGAAATTCGTAGCTCAGAGTCTCGGACATGCAAACCAGAAAAATCGAACCGTTAAAGCAGAAAAATCCATCAACGAGCAATAAATGAATCGGAACCTTTAGCCTTGCCAACGACGCATACGAATTCCGGCTGCACGTTGACGGAGAAATAATAAGCAAACCCGCTGCGAATCCCGATCATCATCTTAAAGCAATAACTTATAGAATTCACCGGTCCCACCAAACTAATAACCAATTGTAGTTTTGGAGGTTGAATGAGAAGCTTGTTAAACTTATGTGCATATTCATTTCGTTAAAGAAAGTACTAGTAACAGTTTTTTAATTATGCAAAGTAACAAAATTATCAATTTTAATGGGATAGAAATTTTCTAATTTAGTCTCATTTAGTTAGATTGGGTTTAATTAAGATTTGATTTGGTATGATTAGTCCGATTTGATAAAGGTTTGTTTAATGTACGTAGTATAACATTGATCTAAATTGTTAAATTTTGATCTAATCAAGTCTAATTTGTCCAAGTGTAATCTGATTTAAGATTAAAATCTACTTACACAAAAACATTGAAATGTTTATTTCAATCATTCAAAGGAAAAAGCCCCAGCTTTCTCACCACGGCTTTTAAATTTTACATATTAAAGCCTAATAAAGTTGTCAATTTTGCATCGCTCTTTAATTATTTATTTACTAAAATATAATTATTAATTGATATAATTAAACAAAAAATATTAATGAAAGTGTAAAATAATCATAGGCTTTTGTATGTAGTAGGAATGTCATTGTTTTCTTCTCAAAAAAGAATTATGTATTACTCCATACTCCGTATTATATGGGGAAAATTCTAATCTTTTACTTTTCTAATAGCTAGGACTAAATATATATATGTCGTACACCGTATAGTATATACTGAAAAGAAAACATATGTAATTTATTTTAATACTTTACTACCTCAATCACGAAAAGTAGCCATATTGGCTTTGTTGCTCAATGACATTAAACTTTGGACAATGATTTTAATTATTATACTTGTATATAATTTATAAATTTTATACTCTTAGGAAAATACTTTGAATAAGAAATGTTGATGTAATTTTCATAATCAAAATATTTCCGTATGAAATAATAAACATGTTGAAATATGTATGTCTTATTGGCATTTTAAATAACTTCTCGAATGTTTGCTTGTTTAGAGCATCTCCAATGCTACAATGTGCATGGTGCACATGTAGCATGAGAAATATAGACACAAAAAATTAAATTTATGACATTTCTCTCTCATTCTTTCCACGATTTTGTGTGTTTTTGGTAAGTTTTTCTCAACAATGTCAATCACAATGTCTACATCTAGACATTGTGTTTGACATTGTAAAGAAAAATTTACTAAAAATATATAAGACCGTTCAAATAAGGAGAAAGATATTCTATTCGTTATTTTTTAATTGACATCTCTCATGTCACGTATGCACCATTCACGTTTTTGCACGAGAGATTGATGGCAATTTGGGAGTATGGGACTCACGTTATGCATCCCCTACTCAGTTTCATCCATGATCCTCTGCAGCTTTTCCCCATACGTGACAACTACAATGCTCCTTACTTATTTTAGTATTTCTAAAATACAAACATTAAAAAGTAGATTGAAAAATAAACACGGAGTAGATAAAATTATAAGTTAATATCTTCGATCGGAATGTGCTAAATTTGTGAAACAATCAAAAAATGAAAGTGGTTAAAGTTTAATAAAGCTGTGAGAATAATATTTATATATAAAAAAAATATCAAGAAGCAATATTTCAAAAAATCTTAATCATTTGACAAGTTTGTAGATAAAATTTAAAATGGTGAACATGTGCTACCAAACTACGAAAACATTCGTTCATATATTATATATCTATCTAGCTAGGGAGTAGTTCAAATAAAAAGACATCTTCCCGTGTAAAGTGCGAAATTTGCACTTTTTAATGTTTCGCTTTCACTTTTTTGTGTTTCCGTTGCACTTTTTTGACATTGCGATTTTGGCCAAATTCGGCCAAAACCACAGTGGCAGTTTTGTAAATAAACCAATTTTTTTCTCTGACGCGAAAAAGTGCAACGAAAACAAGCAAAAGTGCAAGCGAAACATGAAAAAGTGCAAATTTCGCACTTTGCACGGGAAGATGTCTTTTTATTTGAACTCTCCCCTATATATATAATATAAAGTAACAGTGTCTGCACAATTATTGGACGTCAATAGCGTAATCAATAACTTATAAATATATTCTACATATATTTGGAAATTAATATATGTCAATAAAAGAGAGTCTAAAAATGATAATTAATATATATGCAGTAATGCATGTCATTAAGAGTGGCTATACATTTGCGTAATTAATATTAATATAATATTAAAAGTGGGTATGCCGCTTGTGTGATACTACTCCATATATATACACTGTGTTATTTTTTTGCTTCATTTCATTTTTTTAATAACTCAAATATATATCACTTAGTTTGAATAAATGATTGTATTTTTTGTTGAAATAAAATTTATGGCCAATTGTTTGTTCCGAGCAAGTTAAGAAATGTAGTCAATTGAAATAGTTTTGAGCAAGTCAAGACATGAATTCATTTTATAATTTTTAGCTTTTTATACTCATTCTAAGTTTAATAAGATGGTTGCTTTTATGTTGAATTATCAATAATAAGGAACTTAAATAATAGGAAAATATATCTTTATTTAATGTAGTGTAATGTTATGAGAATGTTTAACATACATATTTGGTAAGGATGATAAATCATACCTCCAATTAAAAATCAATTTTTATGAAGAAAAACATCAACTAGATCAAGTAAAAGTTGATAAATTTTATGATGTTTAATAAAAAAGCAATCCATATGTCTCATAATGCTTCGCCAAAATTGATTTGCACAAGGAGTACGGAAAATAAAATAAGATTGATTCATACATGTGTAGACAATAATTATAGAAATAACATTAACTATATATTTATTACTTTAAATGAGAATGAAAAACGTTTTTGAGATATGTTGATAAATTTAAAATAGTTGGCAAAATTTTATGGGATAGGTACGGTTGAGTATTTTTATGGGAAAAGGGTCAAGTAGACCTTCTGTTTTTTCTAATCCATCGATCACTTAAGTCCTTCTACTAAGGAAAACATCATATAAGTACACTTATTTTTTTAAATACAATAAATCAAGTCATTTTGACCTACTATATCAAGTTACTTTTTAAAAAAAAAAAATAGGAGTATTGATAAATTTTATAAAAATTTGAAAAATAATGTAATAATAATATAAAAATAGCATAAATACAAAAATAGACAAATGATTTAAAAATGTTTAAATAAAAAAATCAAAAAATCAAAAAATTAAAAAAATTAAGTGCAAATGTAATACTTCCAGTATTATAAAAACAGAAAAAATGGTCAAATAAATCCTTCTACTATTTGACCCATTATCCAAAGTGAATTGTTTGAGTTTCCTATTATGCTAATGAGAAACTTTGACTAATCTTCTTCATTTTTTGATTGGTTTGGATGCAATATCTTATTGGCATTTTGTTTTTGATGTATGAATGAACTATATCCATGAGCAATGGCAATAAATATTTACTTCTATATTTTTTATAAAATTTTAAATATATTGGTCCTTGCGCTTTCTTTGATGTCAAAAATTTCATGCGTCATGGGTCACGTCATCTAAAAGTGTTGGTCAAAAGTTTTTAAATTTCTATCACAAAATCTAATTATCGTTTCATTTGTCATAATGATAAACAAAAGTCAAAGACAACCTCTGCATCAAATGGGTAATATATCTTTCAAAATATGTTTTGACGCAAGATCAATTCTATGTTATCATGCCATGGGTCACTTCAAAAACTGGCCTAAAGATTTTTATATGTGATGACGAGGGTCATGTTATCAACACCACTAATAATGTGGCCTACAAAGATTTTTTTTTGAAATTTTACGATACTTTTTGTGAATTATGAACATTTATGATTTTTTTTGTTTTATAGTTTTATGAGACCCTTAATAATTATACTATTATTAAATCCATTATCATATAGAGTTTATTGTTATCTTATCGTTTATTTAAATTTTTACTTGCAATTTTTCATATGAACCAAAATTTTATTTTCTTATAGCTACTATTATATACATTCATATCCTCATAATAAAATATACTTCACATTTTAAATAAAAAGAATATTATTTTATTCTAGATACACCCCGTGCATAGCACGGGTACATTATCTAGTATATACTATCGTATATCTATATAGGGAGTGGTTCCAGTGAGAAAAGACTCCTGAGAGAAAAATGAGAATGAATCTAGACCATTGAATTGTATTATGTGAAATTGAATTGTGCATTTAGTAAAACTGAAATGTGCATTAAGTGAAATTGAAATATGCAGAATGAAGAGTAAAATTCAAATGTGCATTACGTGAAATTGAAATGTGCAGAATAAAAGGCACAAAAATGTCACCGCATCGTAGTTTTTATTCTGCAATTTCAGTTTCACCTAGTGCACATTTCAGTTTCCTCTAATGCACAATTCAGTTTCACATAATACCACTGTGCCTTTACCTTTGTGTTGCACGTTTTAATTTCACCTAGTGCACATTTCAATTTCACTTAAATCACATTCAGTTTCACAGAATACAACCTAACGGTCCAGATTCATTCTCATTTATTTCCTAAGATCATTTTCTCACTTGAACCTAGTTATATATATATATAGGGGTGAGATCACATACAAACCATGCTTAATTTACTAACCTACAAACTCAATAATATGCAACACTTTGAACTTCAATATGCAGTATAAATAATGTAAAGATGCACTATTTTAATTTCAGTATGCAATACAAATAATGTAAATATGAAACTGCTATTTTATGGCTTGAATAATATGAAACACGTTGAACGTCAATGTGGAACACAAATAATGTAAAGATGATTTGAATGGGAGGGCTAGTTTGTATGTGATCACACCCCTGCATCTTTAATTATTTTTACTGCATATTGAAGTTTAAAGTGATGCATATTATTGAGTTTGTAGGTTAGTATTTTAAGCATGGTTTGTATTTGATCTCTTATATATATATATATATATATATATATATATATATATATATATATATAGATAGATTAAAAGAGAAAAAAGAATAGATTATAGCCGTTGGATTACCTTATTTTTTCATCGATTAATTTAGTTCCGCAATCTCGAAACTCGAAATTACCGTTTCCTAGAATCTCGACT